ACCTCGTCATCGGCTCCAAACAACCCACCGCCGTCTACCTATCCCCCTCCGAAGCCGCCGAGCACTGCCGGCGCGGCGCCTCCATCTGGCACTTCGCCTCCACCCCCAACACCCCCCCCTCCCCCAACACCACCACCAGCACCACCACCCCGGACGTAATCCTCACCGGCATCGGCGTCGAAGTGACCTTCGAAACCGTCCATCGCCGCGGCCCTCCTCCGACAGCTGTGCCCCGCTCCTGCACAGTGCGCGTCGTCAACGTCACCGATCTGATGATCCTGGCGCCCGGAGTCGCGCCACCCCGCACGCGCTGGGCACGGAGGCGTTTGAGGAGCTGTTTACGCGGGACCGGCCGGTGCTGTTTAATTTATCATGGGTATGCGGCCGGAGTTGCAGGGGTTGGTGTTTGGGAGGGAGGGGGCTGTGGTGGTGGGTTCGGGGAAGGGGGGGAGGGGCAGGGTGATGACCGTGGCCGGGTATAGGGAGGAGGGGAGTACCACGACGCCGTTTGATATGATGCTGGTGAATGGGGTGAGCAGGTTTGATTTGGTGGCGAGGGCGTTGAGGGCGGTGGTGGAGGCTGGTGGGGGTGCCGAGGGGGGGGAGGAGAGGGTGAAGGGGTTGGATGTGGAGGGGTTGCTGGGGGAGGTGGAGAGGCGGGTGGCGGAGGTGAGGAGGTTCATTGTTGAGCATGGGAAGGGTGAGTTGTTATTCGTTTGTTTGTTTCCTTCATTGGTTGAGTTGGTTGGTGCTGGACGAGGTTGGGAAGATGAGGCTAACATTGATGATTGCACATGACAGACCCGGATGATATTTACGATCTGCCCAGATTTGATTAACTACCTGGGTAGTTACGGGCAATGGCACGATGCCGAGGTTTATTGCCTTGGCAGCAAGGAGGAGAACAGGCTCATTGTCCTGGGAGCTAAGTAACGAGGAAGCGCTTTCGATGGTCATAGTTTTGTCCGGAGTGCTCACTCCGATGTGAGGCGGAAATAGGGCTGTATTCCAAGTTCAGGGAAATTACAGTTTGTTAAGTCTTGCCGAGTCCCCAGAAGCCAAGGTCCCAACATGCTGGTTGTCGACCAGGGACCGGCGGCCGCTCCCGGCCAGATTGGGATTGTTCAAATATCCATCGTTTTTCGGCGACGACTCCGTTTAGAGTAACGCAAAAGTGAAACAGAAGCCAGGTCGGTGGGAGATTGCCTTCTCCACACTCAACCTCAGTTCCCAGGAAGTCGCGATTCTTCTTCGTAAACTACAAAACAACCCTGCACAAAATGCATGGTGCGCCTTTTCCTTCTCTTCCCGACCAACGAAGCAGTTGCTATCCAAGGCCCGTAAACCATCGCTCGTCCCATTTGAGCTCTGATCGTCGGCCTGCGCTTTCCGCGGGTATGGGCGAGACCTGCATCCGCACCTGGGAATCGGTAGGTCATGCGCATACCTTAGGTTCCTGACTCCCCAATCTTGGGCGGGAAACCACTCTGCCAACTGCATCCAGCCCAGTGCGAAGCCCGCAAGAAACCGTGGTGTCTGCTCTGGTTCCCCTCGTGCCCCTTCCCCCTCGCACCCGACCAGTCTGGACCATGCCTTGAATGATCTGCTTTCAAGCATGATTAGCACACATTCAACCATCACTCACTCACTCACATCCTTCACCCGCTGCACAAAAACCGATGGAGTGATGGCCTTACCGTTTCGAGTTGCAACGTCCAACCCCCCCCCTCGATCCCCATTCCCTGTATCGTCGCTTGAAGTTCCCACAGTTGCGTCGCAGTCGCAGTCGCAGCCGCTGTGACCGCCCTTTTCCTGCTAGGTCGGCTGGTCGGGTCGCCTCGCATCCCACGTTCGCCCCACAAACGCATCAAACGCTCCCCCCTCCCACCGTCCCACGCCTCCCCACGCAGCCACGCTCCCGACCCGGCAAACACGGCCGAGCAAAATCGACCAGGGCAATTCCACGACGCGGATGAACCCGACAACGTAGGGCGCGCGGCGGGTTAGTTAGTGGGATGATCGTCCACGTCCCGTCGTGCGCTTTCGTGATTCGCGCAGGATCGCATTCGAGATGCCGCATCCCGTCGCCGGTGTGCACTGCCGTGCCTAAGTTGGGGGACGGTCCCGTTCGCCTATCGGGTGCTGCCGCACGCTGATGCTGCGGTCGTGCCAGCGATGGAGCGCCAGGCTGGTAGCGCGGCAGGACGGCAGGGCCTGCGGTGGCAAGCTTGTGTCAGGGAAAAAGAACAGAACCAGCGGTCCGAGTTCAACGGTTTGCCGTCCCATGTCCCTTTGCTTCTGTTTGTTGTTCATCTGCTGATTATTGATGCCTAATTGTTGCGCGGCATCCCAAACTCTCTGTCTGCCCGCTCGTTTGACTAACTGCAGTGTGGGCAAACGCCCGTAATATTCTTGCGCTTTTTTCTTCGAGCTTCTTGGCCAGTAGAATAACGGGCTGTTGCACCCCCAAAACGCCAAAAAAAAGGAGCGAGGGCTCACCGGTGCCAGAACGAGGTTAAAGGTGCTGCAAGCGGAACCCGAAAAAGCAAGACCCGGTTTCGAACAGATCCTCGGTAATGCTGCCGTCGGCAACGGCTGCCAGTCGTAGAGAAGGGGGGGGGGGGGTGCGTCCCGACCAAGGAAATCCGCCGAGCTGCTGAACCCTCCTGCCGGAACGTTAAAGGCTCCCGAAGGGACTTGGATGGGGGCCACGCCTGTACTCCGGGAAAACGGGAAACGTTTTGAGACGCAGCTGCGCGCAGCAGAACAATGGACCAGCCCCAACGAGGCAGCGGGTCACGCAAGTTGGAATTGAGTAATCGGCGGCGCCAGGTCCTGGGCGACAAGCCGCCGGGACCACCAGCCGGCCAATCTGCACCGCTGCCGGTCGCACAACCCCAGCAACGAGGCGCCCGCGGAGGCATCCGCCTCGGCCCCGGAATGCGCGGATCGCCCGGTCCGGTGGAGCGTGCTTCCCCTGGCCCTGCGCTGACGGGCATTGGCCCCCCGCGGAATCACACTTCGAAGCCGCTGAATCTGTGCCCTCCCTGCCTCCACAACGAACATCACCCTTGGCAGAAACAAATCGTGTTGGGCCCAGCTGGGCCCCGTGCAATCCCGGGGAGCAGCGGGACCACCGCCGTCCCGTCTCAGCTGCAATAGTCAAGGTCGCTCGGCATGCTCATCAGCGGCCTCCAAATCAATTGCCTGACCGCGTGTCTTCGTTTTGGGTCAGGGGCCGGCGGGAGGGTGGCTGAGGGCCAGAATCGGCCATTGGCAAGCCTCGCTCACATCTCATCTTTTTTTCCAGCAGGCCCCAGCAGGGCCAACAGGGACCGCCCGCGTCCCCACCATTTGGGCCTTGTTCCATGCAGGGCTCCAAACATGGTGCGAGCTCGACCTGCAGCAACCCCATCCCGGAAGGGGACAAGGGGGCGTCCCCGGGGGGCTGTCACACGACGACGGCCCGAAAATTCGCTTGCAGACTGTCTTTGGGAATCCACTCGGGGGGAAGCTCAGACAGGGGCGATCTTGCAGCCACATATGCGGAGAATCTCCCCGGAATGCCCAGTGAAGTCTCGACACATGGTATGGGCGCCGCAACCCGAGCACATGCGTGTCATCGGCCGTCGGATCAAATTACCTGACTGCTGAGGGAACCAGGGGAGGGAAGAATCTGCGGAAGATTGACGAAAACAGGCGCGGGGGCCAATTTGCTGATCTTCGCACCGGGTTTAAGACCCGAGCCTGGCCAATCCAACGCGTTTTCGGCTCACCTGTGTTCGCACACATACATACATACAGGCACTCACCACACACACACACCACACAGCCCAGCCCGTCAGCTCGGTCCCGGACACCCCAGTCGACGATAAAACCACTACTATGAGCAACGCCCCTACGCATCAGCCCACCGAAGAGCACGTCGACCGCCTCGCGAGGACTCAACACCTAACAGCTGACACTGGCCCGCCCGCGCGCGCCCGCATTCTTGCTCCCCGTCTGTCCATTCCTATCTTCTCTTCGGTGCGGTGCTGGCACGCCTGCCAGGGAACTCCCGGGCACCACCACTCGGGCTTCTTCCGGCGTTGTGTGATCTGGGACAAACCCCCGTTCAACCGTAACACGAACGTCCAAAACTTGCCCAAACGCCGGCCATTGTCAGCCTGCCAGCGACCCGGACCCTGCCAACTTTCTTGGAACTACCGGCATCCCTCCCCTGGCGCATTATCTTACGTCTTAATCCTTGGCCTTGGTTTTTTTTCTCCCCCCGACAAAGCGGCCATAAATTCATGAGCCGAAGACTCCGAAGGACGACACGAGAGCATTCCTTACCACCTCGACCTTTCTCTTCGGGTCGTTAACCAACAACCGCCGCCATGAGCAGCGACTCGACCATTGCGAGCACCCCTAACGAGACCGATATCGCCTACTTTCCCGAAGTCGTCTTCCCAGCCGGCAACTCCGACTTCCGCGCTGCACGGAACCGGTGTGCACGAGCCTGCCGAGAGTTCAACACCACTCCCGACGACGCGGACCCGGAGGAGCGGAGCCAGAAATGGCTTGAGTGAGTCTCGCCTCAGCCGGTGCCGGGGACGGGTCTGGCCCGTCTCGTTTTTTACTAACACGTTTGCAGCATCGTCCGCCCGGACCGTGACCGCACCGAGGATAGCGTATTGGCCGTAACCCATGACCAAACCTTCGCCAACCCGGCCCTCAAGGCCAAGACCCCCTTTATCAAGCCGCCCGTCTACATCGACTATGGCGTCCGCTTGCATGTCGGCGGTTCCACCTTTATCAATCGGAACTGCATGATCATGGACACGCCCGTGGCCGACGTGGTCATTGGCGAAGGCTGCAATATCGGCTCCAACTGCTGCATTATCGGCGTTACCCGTGAGTTTCCCCCCTGAACCTGTCAGTGTGTGAGCCGACCTTGTCTTCTCGGGTGCTGTTCCCGTGGCTTCGACATGTCAGCCTGCAGGCTGATACCGTGCCACTTACACGCTTCCCAACACCCTGGAAAATCCCGCGGAAATGGCAACGGCTAAACGGAAAAACAGATCCCGTGCGGCTCGACGAGCGCCTCCAGAGGCACAGCATCGGCCAGCCAGTCACTATCGGCAACGACGTCTGGATTGGTGCCAACGTTACCATTCTGTAAGTCAGCCTGCATTCACTCACGCATGTCGCTCCACAGCCTCGGAGAATGGGCATGATGCCGTACCCTTCCTGCATTGCGCCCCCATTTTATTCTCCGCGACAGTTTCCCCTCTCGCCTAGTCCCCCCCGCCCTGTCCTACCTCACTCGGTCCCCCGGAACGAGAATATAACAGATAGCTAACAAGTTTGGTCACCAGGGGCGGTGTAACAATAGGCGATGGCGCCGTCATTGGTGCCTGCTCCCTCGTCAAGCGAGATGTCCCGCCCATGAGTGTCGCCTTCGGTGTGCCGGCCCGCGTGGTCCGTTTCCTCAAGGACGTCAAGCCCGCCCTCAACAGCTCATCCGTCATGGCCCATACGATGGCTGACGGAATGCGGCTGGGGAACCGCTTACCAATGAGGGGGCAATTCGATCCCGGCTCCCGCGACAGTTCCGGGGGTGGGGAGTACCAAGAGGATGGACATGCTTGCAACGGCTCGGTTGTGGAGGGGGATGGGCTGTTGGACTTTGACCCGTTGGGCGTGGACACGGATGTCGACATGGATGGGCCCCTGCCGTCCGGGCGGCGCTTCTCGGGTGGCTCGGGGTCCACTGCGCACAGCGTGCTGCACGACGTCGGGCTCAGGGACCGGTTGGGGCGAGGGAGTGTACGGGATAGGGAGGTCAGGGCACTGTTGCTGCCGCGGAGGAGGCACCAACAGCGTCGACGGCAGCGGTGGGATGTTGAGGCTGCTGCCATCACGGCGGTGGTGATTGCGTTGCTGATGGTGTTTTTCTTTGCCGGCGTCTATTTGGGGGCAAGCAAGATTTCTTTTGGGCCTGATTTGGGATACCTGTAGCCGGTGGTGGCTAAGCGTCGGCGTGTGGGTATAGACTGGTCTGGCGTTTGGGGCGGGGCCCATTGGCCGTTTTTGATATTCTCTTTGGACAGCATGGATTGGAAAGATAGAGAGCTCGAGGACAGGATGGAAAATTCAGGGTGGGGATGGGACACACCGGCATCGGGTATGTCTTTGTTTTACTTTTTTGATGGTCGGATAGAGCAGGCCACTGCTGCGTTGGGTTCAGCTTTCGAGACACACGGCAGGCCGTGCATTACGTTACGTGGGGCGGCTGTATGTACAACAAGTAATGGTTAATATCAGCCCCGGCGGGGATTGGTGTATCTTGGATTTTGGCGACGCTTGGTGACGGAGATGGATGGGGAGTTGGCGTATGGTATGGTGCACATACAGCAAGCAGTACAAGCACCTCATGTGAAATAAGGCTCACTCTTTTGGGCGTGCGATAGTGAGCCAGGCAATTAATTGTCCGGGGTTCCTACAAAGTGGGTGAGGCAAGGTATCTGGTCCCAGCCGCAATGGGATATCGGTCATTGCTAGTAGTCCAGAATCAGACTTGGGGCATATAGCCTGCTGACAGCAAGCTGTCCTGGGCATAATGAGAAGGAAAGGATCTTCCTGGGCCCAATGTCGTTCAGAGTTGGACTTGGAAACAGGACGAGTACAATAGACAATAGACGAATGTTCAGCTGGAATCTTGGGGGTAAGAAGGGATGGACACGTGAAGTTGGGGGTGGGAGGAAAACGGCACAATGTATGTTGATTGGGTAAAAATTAGATCTTGGGCGACCTCCAGCTGACGCTAATCGAGGGGGATGACTCCAAGTTTCCTGATTATCTCCAACGGCACCGCCGAGATGTTATGGACAGTGATAAGGTCAATATGTAACCTCGACGACAATGATGGTAAATCCCCAGACAATGGCAAACTCGAAAACAAAACTAGGGCATCTCGATGCTGGCGACTCCCAACTTGAAGCCGTTCCAGTTCCAAAATACCATAACCCCCCATGCGTGCCCGTTAGGTAACCAACCTTTCGTCAGGCTCTACCCATCCAAACCCAGATATAAATGGGTTAGATGGGCTTCACCAAGGCCTTTATAATAATGGGATCATACGATGCCATGTTGACTGGCTATCTGGTTAATCTAGGTGGATTTAGTGGGCACAGTAATGTGGTTGATGTGCGCTTGCATCACACGGCAAATGCTGCGAATAAGCTCGATGTCCTTATTTTGGATGGTAACTCGCCGGTCAGGGATAGTAACAAATCGAAAGGCGACAAGGTCAAACATAGAACAGCAGCGATGGCTGGGCCAAGTTTCAATACATCTACAAATTGAAAACAATGAAGACTACGGCATCCTCACTGCAACCGGTTGGAGAACGCCGTTATAGCAGCAGCCAGTCTCCGCGTGATCATTCATTGTGGACGCGATATTTCCTCCTCCCATTTCTCCAGGACGATATAGTGTTGCATTCCTAGTTCTTCCAATTGTAGTACTCCTCCCGCATCGCGGTGATATCACCTCCTGCGCCGGTGAAGCACCCCCGTGGCGGGCCAACAAGAACCCACCCACAAGGGCAGGTTGCAAAGATGATTTGGCCACTGCGCTAAGGGAGATTCAGAACGAGCCAAAGCCACTGAGCAGGCCAAGGCTCTTGAAAAGGAGCGAGACGAGAAGGTGGTAAACTTCGGGATCCAAGCACCCAAAGCGAAAGCTGGGAAGGCTGCCGCTACGACTGGTGCAGCTGCGGCCCCAGTGGCATGAAACACCCTAAGCGAGACGTGTAAACATCCAGCCCCCGACCCCAACTCCGCCGCAATGGACCCGAAGAGGCAGAGGCAGTCTCATGTAGGGGATGAGTTGGATTTCCGCAAGGCGTTGTTGTATGAGAAGGTCGTGATAATTGATCCCTGTGGTGGAATCAGATTACCTAGCCTTTGGTAGACAAAAGAGATACCGACGTTTCAAATGAGTGGGTGAAATTCCGGGACGGAGATTTACGATCGTGGACTTACACCGACACAAATGTCGGGCTGAGGTTTGGCCGAGAGCATGTGTCTATTCCGTTGCCCGAGGGCCAGATTGGGATCGCCTTTGATAAAATGGTGGTATACTTCAAGACCCTTTGTCCTCCTCCCGTCCTATTTATTTCCAAATATCTACATTCTCCTCAGTGGCACATCCCTCACACCAAGATCCAACACACAACACACAACTCTCAGACCCACCCTTCCCCCTCTCCCTCTCCCCCTTCCTTCCTAATAATAACCCCTCCACCCCCTCCATCCACCCCATCTCCCTCAACGGCCACTCAATCCACCCGCGATGCTCCTCATCCAGAATCTCCCGCGCCCGCATCATGATATGCTCCCCCCACCCCTGCAACCACCAATGGCTCTCATAGTACTTCAGCAACACGCAAAAATGCGCAAAGATGGCCACGGCTTCCTGCGTCGGCACCCGCAGCAGCGGCACGAACTCGTCCGACATGACCCACAGCCAGACCATGGCGTCGAGCACCTCGCGGGGCGCGGCCGGGTCGTGGCGGACGACGAGCGCGCGATCGAGCTCGTCGAGGCTGTGAGTGTAGGTTTTGAGGAGGAAGGCTTCGGTGACGGTGTCTTGGACGCGGGTGCGCAGGGGGGCTACGAAGGAGGAGGGTAGTGTGGTTGAAGCGGAGTATGGTTCGGCCGAAAGGTGTGGGGATGATGGGACTCTGAGGGGAGTGGGTGTGGGTTGCGGCGCTTGAGG